GAATTAAAGAGATCAAAGGCCCCTGGGCGACTAGCTGTGAGCACCCAGCTTTATTAACGACTCCTCATTCTTCCTTGTCGGTTCTCTCCTCCTGCAATAAATTCACAGTGCTCAATTACCACTGACACGCTCATTGCTGGAACCCATGTAACCTTGAGAATTAGCCACCCCTCCTTAAACGGGCACAAATTAAACAGGCGATTACATTGACACACTCTCCGCAGGTGTGTTAAGAAAGCGATCCTCCCCCTATTAATCAACCCACAAGAACAATTGCAGCCTAACGGCCTGGAACTCATGTATGGGTGTGTTCTAATGAGCCTCGTATCAAGTTTTTGGTGATGAATGAATCAGACATCAGGCTGGAGTGTGTCTCTATACGTCCCAGCTCCGGCTTATATTGTTTTATCGGATGCTGTTATTTCAGGTTTCATAATTAAAACAGCCATTGTGGAGCTCTACGAGACAGAGAGGTATCTGGACCTGGACCTGCAGTAAGGGGAGAGGAGCCCTTATTTTGGCAATGGTGCTCTGATCAATGAGGAAAGTCCAGTGTCTGCAGATTGTTCTGTGACCGACAGAATGATGGAGTGATGTCATTCTGGTTTTACGAAGCAAGGCCATACAAGGTAATGCAGTAAATGAGGCTGCTGAGGACATTAAAAAGTAGTGAACCAACAGTAGAGGTGGGATATAAGACTTTCAGTACAGTATATCTTTCGGTTTTGCATATACAGAACCCTAGCTAAGTAAAAAGCCTTAAGAAAGAGATACTGTATATACCGTATGTACTCTATGAATGTGAAACAAAACCAGGCACAACGCAGAGCAGACAAACCTACTGCTAGCCTAGTGGGAAAACTGAACACTTAACCATGTTTACATTTGTATGAAGAATGTAAGCTTGCATTGGTGAGTTTTCTTCTGAAAATAACCCTGCCACATCTGTACACAACTCCTGCATGACATGGTGATATGCCGCAAAATGCCAGGTACTGGCAGGAAAAATAACAGAAAGGTTCAACATCCCACTATACTTCTGAATCCATGGCAAAGATATTAACCTTCTGTACACCTCCTGCATTGGGCTCTGCATCAATCACAGACATACCATGCCTAAATACTTCTTACCGACGTGTTCATGTCTGCTTCATTTTGAGTTTTGTTCCTGTTGCTCTGCAGCTGTACTCTAAATATGCCGGGTTTGCTCATTTTGAGATATGAATGGTTTCCTCAGCCTCACAGTAATCAAACAAAACAATAAAAATCACCTTTGGAGAGCAAAAGAAAACAACAAATCCAAAAACATAACATCTAGCCCCAACAAAATTCTGTGCATCCTGTAACTCAGTACAGTGTGACTTGGTAAATAACATTGTCTTTTTGTACCAAGAGAGTATCAGACTTGTTCTTGCACATGATCAGGGTTTCACCTGTTAGTTCTACATGAATTAACAGTCCTCATATAGCTAGGACTGTGCACACCAGCTCTGAAGTGAATCTGCATCTGGTTCTGAGCAAACCAACAAGAAGAGGGACCTACTGTATTACATCACGTCGTTAAAGGAAAAGAGATGGCAAAGAAGAGAGAAAAAGAATGTAAGAAGGAGAGTGCAGGGGTGTTGTCAGAACATCCATGACAGGATTATTTTTCTCTCTCTCCTCTGCACTCTGGTTCTGTCCTATTGAAGACACTTCACCAGGAGACAGGCCAGCCTCCACAGAGCAGAAGTAGGGCAAGCTGCTCTCTAAACAGATTTTATTTTCCTTTGGTGGCTGTCGGTTGCTGAAATATTGTACTTTGAAGAAATATTTTTTGTGGGGAAAAATTTTTGAACTAAAAATATATCTCTAAAACTTTAAAGCTTTTTTCAGCTTTCACACAGTCTCATTTTTAACTACAGTATGCTCAGTTTCTACAAAGGAGCAACACCCGGAGTTCATCTGCAATGTCTCAGAGTTATCTTTCATGTGCACTATGCATTTTTGTATTGTTTTACAATATTTGTGTTTTTCATTACTACATATTTATTGTTCTCCACAACATATCTATTGTTCTGCTGTTATTATTCATTATGTTTGTAATGCTCTGTCTACGCTGAGAGATCAGCGTGAATAAGAATTCCAATGTACATGTACTGTACATATAGCAATAAACTCCTCTATTCTACTACTATTCTATTAGTATCCCCTAGTATGTCAAAGTATGAATAGTTTCTGGGGAGATCAGTCTGTCTGTGCACAGGGTGGGTTACACAGTACGTCCTAACATGAGAGTACATTGCTGCTCCTGGTGCATGTGAAGTACAGTAGAGGTATTCTTTAACTAATACAATAGTTGCAAACAAAAATTTGTGGGTTTCGAAATCATTACAATTGTACAGCCATTTCGCATGAGAACGTAATTGGTTAATGGTGGTGTGGCGTGTGAATTCCATTCCCAACTTCAAATCAGCACATTAGTCATTTTTTCTGTTTTGGGTTGACCAGACTTTTGTAAATACCTTTAACTTTTGCCTTTCCTATGTACAGTATGTGTTATGTTTGATTGTCATTTGTAGATAAAATAATGGTTCAGTGAGTGTGGGCATGAGAGTTATGAGAGAAAATGAGTAATAAAGAAGTAAGAGAATACAACAAAGTAGAGAAATCAAACAATTTGTAGCATTTCATTTTGTATATTAATTTTCTCTGAATTTGCAGGTATGGTTTGCAATTATGTCTTGATCAGGCCGATACAATGGACTTTTTTTTCTTGTAGCACTTGATTACATCTAGATTTTGCTCTATGCTGATCACCTGAACATTCTTCTTGTTCTTCTTTCACCTTCGCCACTTTTCTCACCCTGAGCACTCATCATGTGGCTGTGCGGTTGAGCTGCCTGGCTTTTTCTAAAGAATACCACAATCAATCAAAAACCATGTCAAACTGAGCACAATAGTTGGAGGCTAGCCCTATTTTTAAAATTGTGTTGAATCACATTCATATGGGTCAGAACCTTGTAAGTTTATCTGTCCACTTAAACTCTTCAGAAGTGTTTGAAGAATTTCATTCATATCTATAACACTTAAGCACGTTCTTAACCCTGTCCGTAAGACTAAACTGCATGTAGCAGGGCTGGCAGAGCAGTAGAGGGTTAACCCACCTCCTGTATTTAAGGGACAGTGAACCTGCCCTGGTAATTAGTAAATGAGGGACAGGGGTGACAGCAGCAGGATATGAGAATCCTGAAAGCTGGGAGATTTGTAGAGCTGTTACAGTTTTCAAGTGCACTTGTTGTAATTCATATGCTACATCATTAAGCGAGCTGCTGGTTTTGTACCAGCCATAGTTATCATAGTAAGGTCATGTTTTTATAAGATTTAAGGAATATGTTTTTTTCTTAAACTGTATATTTAATTTGAGAGAAACACACCTGCTATGTTTAGATGTGTCAAAGTGACATAAACAGTAAGCTTTTATAGGTTGAAAATATTTCTAGAGCACTAGTATCTATAAAACTATTGTTATGAGCAATATACTATTTTTTGTTTAACTACTACAGAAATATTTGATTTTTAAATAAATAATTGGATTTGGTATATATTTGGCTGCAGTGAGCGTAATCAATGCAACATGTAATCTGCAATATACACAGCAACTCTTGGAAAAATGTATACATTAATAGACTGGAAACCTGCAATGAACTACATGGGACTGAATTCTGTCTGTGTGCCTTACAACAGACGGATTCTAATCTGAAGACAGATTGTAATATACTGTACAGTGTCTGGTAACTGTAAAACAGTTAGATAAGATCATTTGATTGGCCATATACAATTTCTTGTATTAGGAATTTGTCTTTTTCACATACCCCAACTTGCTCTCCATGAGACACACAGACAGGGAGAGAAGCTTGGGGTCAGAGCACAGGGTCAGCCATTTATATGGCGCCCCTGGAGCAGTTGGGGTTAAGGGCCTTGCTTAGGGGCCCAATGGAGTAGGATTCCTCTGCCAGCCGCAGGACACGAACTGGCAACCTTCCAGCCACAGGCGCAGATCCTTAGCCACAGAGCCAATGCAGTGCCATATTAGAGGACTGCCATACAGTTGTAAGTATGTACCAGCAAATTACTGAACGACTAATTCCATAACAGATAAGAACTGCCTTGTTGCCATGTGTCTGTAAGTTACCTGATACCTTTATTGTTATTCTCATACTATTTGACAATTATTTCATATAGAAAAATGTTGAGGCTTTAGTAAAGTGAATCAGAGTTTGAGCTCAGTCTTGAGAGTCTGCTGGCTCAGCTCTGACAGCCTTGACTGATTGCTCCTAGAAAAGAGAACCTCATTCCCTCCCAAAGCTCCGCAGATGGAACCTGATCTCAGGTGACCTCTAATCAAGTTTCATTCCCTTATTCCCGGAATACACTGACTCTCTGAAATGGTGTCCAACTGAGTACTGGAAGAACCCCTTGAACTAAATCAGTTCAAGGAAAAACTGATAAAATATGAACTGAATTGAAAAAAATAAGTCAGATACAGTACTTTGGGATGTACGTACTTAAAAAACAGTTTAAAGCCACCATAGCAAGATTAGCGTAATGCAGCAAAATCAGCAAGCTTGACAATATTGTTTTTTCCAGAGCTATGGTTATGGATGCCTGCACCCCGCAAAAGAAGATCCTGGAGTTCTTCTGTTTACAGGCATGTACAGTATCTGCAGTCCTTTCCTACAATGAAAACCTTCTCCTATGAAGCTACAGTATAAAGAACCCACTGTTTATTAAAAAAAACACAAATCACCTAAACATATACTATGAAAAAGCCCTTTACACCACAATAAACACAGAAAGCAGACATTTAAATGCAGAAATTTACAACTAGCTTAATAGTACATTTCAAACTCAAGCTGGGTGAGAGAGAACGGAGCACTCTAGCAGAGATACAGTAGGCAGCATGAGTGAGAATGAGCAAGACAGCAGATCAGTGTGTCTGTAGGAGACTGTGCCTGTACCTCTGGGATCCTCACGCTGTACGGCTGGTTGTGGAAGGTGGGAGAATTGTCATTCACATCCCCCACTTGGATATTCACTGTCCCCTTGATGACCTGCAAACAGAGGGTCCACACTGTTTAACCATACAGGAAAAGATAAAGAGTTTACGAATCAAAAATAAAAAATAAATGGCACACACTCTGCCCCTGGATAAAGCAGGTCTACACCCTCACATACAGTATGTGTACCTTTGTGTTTATACAGTAATTACTATAATACAGGACACACATATAATTTACTCACACTGTCGTAGAGTGTAAACACATCACTGAACACACATGGCATGGGCAAACTTAAAACCAATGCAGCCGCCAGAAACAAACCCACCCACACAGAACATACTGTATGCAGAGAAATAAACAGAACGACACAGCCAAGGCAGAAAGCACCCCTGCAGCAGCAGTGCTGTGTACTGTAAGCACAGTATATACTGTATACAGTGCCAGTTTCAGCTCATTTTCAAGCTTTCGAACAGCAGTAGTTTCCCACTGATTGCTCCTGTCCACCCTACTGGCAGTAACACCTCACCTACAGTACACCCCCCGGTGCCCTCTTAGCTACTCTCCCAGAATCTACAGGCAGATTCACACACCCACACTCACAAAACACACACTCCTTCCAGCAGGAAAGAGAGCAATGCCCAAGAATGGATTAATCAGCACTTCACATTTTCACCTCACAAGCCAAGTAGAAATCTCTGAAAGAAAAGCACTGAATCCTAGAAGAAAATACCTCGGAGATTACTACTGTAATAAGCACAGTTATTTTATTAGTGCCCACTTCACAAAACCATAAAACAAATTGTTATAAGAAAAAGGTATTTTGAGCTCTTGCTGTAATGAATTAGACACAGAGCTTTAGTCATAAGATTGCTCCAGGCTTCCTTTGGTTTTGAAACTAGAGAAAAAAATTCCTTATGAATTCCCAAGCCTTATTTTATCTTTTAATTCAATTGTTTTCCAAGATTCTAAAAGCCTATACTGTATATTTAGTGTGTATGTATTAAATTACTAATTTAAGGGAACTTTCTGTTTTTTGACCATTTCATAAATATCATGAATATGTTTTTTTCTTCTGTACCTACCCCTTGGTTGTCACTGACAGAGAACTCCACCTGAAACTCGGATTTGGCCTGCAGGAATAAATGAAAAGACATAGACATGATAGTTCCCTTACTTTACTGAAGATTGAAATAAAGCAAAGAGCCTTCAGCAGCTCCTTTGCAAACACCTGAAAATTGATTTGATTTTTTTTGTTGTTGTTTTGTAAGTATAAACCAATGTGCCTCAGTTTTACAATGGAGAAACTCTGAGTGCAAGAACCTGGGCAATTTCCCTCGCAGCACATATAAATGAAGGACCTTCTCTTTAACAAAGCCTTACATTCATCAGCATTCTGCACACAGACAAAATTTCCACAAGAGGAAAATTTGCACTTCGAGAGCAGATAAATGTTGCAGCTGAAGATTGAGCAAACAGTGGTCGATAAGCCTACATGCAACTGAAGGTGAACCAAACAGCCTCCTGCCATCTGTAACCTCTTCTGTATCCCAATGTTCTCTCATTAGTGCTGAAGGCTTGTCATCTTAGGTTTGCAGCAGAATTGGTAACACAGTTGTGCCCTGAGGTATAATACCATGGGTTTCATAGAGTTCACAGTTTTTATCCCTATGTGTTGTTTAATAATTTATCCCATGACAGACTAAAGTTGTTAATTTAAGGCAATCAAAAACGTACAGTATGCGTCCAAATCAAACAAAATGTTTTCTTGTGATGTCAGCACAAAAAACTGGAGGGGAATACATGTCTACAGAGGGTGTTCATGTTCAGGGTGTTCATGTTGGAGGATGTAGAGAATAACAGGACCATAAAGTAGGAGACTCTCAGTGTAATCTGCATTCCCTGCACTTAGTCTCTCTGTTACTTGAGAACAACATCTGCACAATAAAAGTGTTTTTTCTTTTCTAAAATAAACTTAAAAAAAAACTAATTGTAACCTCCAATTAACAGTTGATTGGACAGAAGAAATGAAAAATGTAAGAAATATACACTTTAATTAAATTTAATTTAAATAAACTGGAAAATATAAAACGTACAATTAGAATATGAATTTTAAAAAAGGTAGAAACCTCCAGATATACAGTAATTCTATGAATGGATTAGTCATTAGTTATATGAAAGGCATCACTGGGATGCAATGGTAAGCATTGCTGCTTCGCAGCTCTGAGGCCCAGGGTTCGATTCCTAGGGTGATGTACTGTATCTGCATTGAGTGTTTATGTTCTCCTTGTGTTTGTATGGGTCTCCTCCCACAGTCCAGTGACATACTAGTATGTCAATTGGTTTTGTATAACATTGGGCCTGGTGTGGTGTGTGTGTTTGTGTCTGTCATCTGATGGATTAGTGTCCCATGCAGGGTGTATCTTGCTGACTTGTATCTGTTGCTTGCTGGAATACGTTCCAGTTTCCCCTGCGACCTTGTATTGGATAAAGTAGTTTAGAAGATGGATGGATTATGATAATGTTTCATTCAAACCAGTTTTCCACATTGCCTGTTTCTCACCGTTAAATAGGTCCACTCTGGTTAACACAGACTTGAAAACATAAGAACATAATTAAGGTTATAAATGAGAGGATACTTTGAATTGAAAGAAGCCGGGGAATCAGCTTCATAAACATGGCTGGGTAGCTTGTTCTAGACTCCCATATTATTAACACTGACACACTGTCACACAGTGTAAACTGGGCCCTGAAGAGTTTACCATGGGGACTTTGGATTATTTTTATTTTCTTTATGGTGTTCCTTGCATTTCAGCTTAAATTGGCTTCTCTGTGCTGTAAAATTCTGACCATACTTCAGTTGGCTATCACTACGCTAGACTATGCTATTACCATAGGAAATGTTCATATGTTAAATACTGGTAGAGCACCTCTTTTATGAGCATTAACTCTGGCAAACCATATTACTGTCAAGTGAAGTTAAAGCACAAAGTCATTGTGACAAGCAAGATAATGAAATGCAGAGGAAAGCCAGAGCAAATGGGCAAAACTGTCTAGCAAAATGTGTCAGGTTAAACTCTATTTAGGAGGCCTAAGCAGTGTTCTCTAAGCAACACAGTGTCCTGCCTTCTCGCACCTCACGGTCCAGGGGCTGTCTCAGCCAAACCACGCCTGTGTTGCTCTCCACAGCAAAGTAGCGCATGGCCTCCTCACCCACAACGCCAAAGACCAGCGGCTCGTTGTCAGGGTCCCGCGCCAGCAGCTGCGTCACGGAGGCACCTTAGAGGGGAGACAAGGTTTGTAATGTATACTTGGGATCAAAACCTATATGTCATCAAGGTAGTTACTGTGCTGGCTTCCAGCTGAAGCCTCACTGAAGAGGTGAAAGAGCTTGGCCTTGTACACAGTTCAGCAATATTGACTGTATCACCTCGACCCAGAAGTTGAACAGCAGCAAATGAACAGCAAGAGCACAAATACACCCACATGTGGTAGCTTGGTGTAGCATCTCAAATGGACAAAAAATAAGTCAGTAATGACACAGTAAAGCTACAAACCCTATACCTGTACACCTCTTAGAGATGTTCAAATTTACCAAAGTAAAGGGTCTCTTGGCATGGTGGGTTTGGCAATAATTTTGGATGAGATAATGAGGGACTGGAAAAGAGATGACAAATCAAACCTGGAATCATACTGCATAGTCTGTAATGATCGTGCTCAGGTGAGTGCCATTTCCAGCTCCAGTAACACTGCTGCAGGTGGGCAATCAGCAAATCAATCACCCATTCTGCCTGTTCCAGTGACAACACCATCAGAGAGGGTATCACTGCCACCAGCACTTACTTGATTACTAGGAGGGTATTTCTTTCCTTTTTGCCAACTTTGGAGCATGCGATCTAAGCTGTGGCATGGTGAGCTGCCATTTTGTTTCCCCTGTGCTTGAGCTGCTTTTCTTAGTGTTTGTGTTCCAATTCCAGCTTGACTCTCTGCTTTGTTTATTTAACACTGACTCCTGGATCTCTGTTCGGCTTTGCTTTGTCTCCCTGTGCTTCACTTGGACTGCCAGACTCCTGTATGTTTCTCCAACATGTGGACCTCTCGCCTGCCTAACTATCCCCTTGGGCTTTCCCTGTCTGCACTTTGCCTGTTGCCTCCACAGCTGCATGCCTGCAGCTATGTGACATCTGCCTGGCTGAACAGCCGCATCTCACTGGCTTGCCTCACCTGCTCCACCTCCTTGATCTGCCTGCCTGCTGACACCTGCAGCTTTGCTGTCTCACACCATATTCACTGAGCTCAGCACCAGCCTTGTCCTGCACAAGGATCCCTTGTCCAACATGGACCACTGCCCCCTTCAGGTGGGTTTAATGGTCAGTTACAATAGCCTGCATTAGCCTTTCTCATTCCACATGGTCTAATAGCATGGGTATCCAAGTACTGTGGATAAACTAGTTACTTGCAAGGTGTTTGGGAATATTTGTGTTTATTTTAATTCTGCATGGTTCTGTACTCTCTGTTGGGTTTGGATGGAATTTCTGGTGAAATGCTGGTCTTTGAGACACTAAATTTATTTAAGTATTAAGTAAACCTGTAGGGCTGTGAGAGGGCACGATTTTTTTCTTATTTGTCTAAATCATATTTCCAAACAGGATACCTCTCCTCAACATGACTGTGTTCAGCAGATTGGTCAGAGGTACAGTATGTGTTGACCTCTTTTATCTCAACCTTAATGACTGCACTGTGAGAGAAAACACTGTGTATTTTAATGTTTTGGCATTACCAAGGCAAATTCAGCTCATTCAAACCTGAATTCTCTGCTCCCTTCCAGGCAGTTTAACTGACTTCACCACGTCCCACCTCTGCTCCCTCTTTGCCTCTTTCCCACTCTGTGGCTTATTATGTGAAAAGGGCCTCCAGCTCTCAGCCCTTAACCTGCCTCACTCAGGCTGTCTCAGCGCATGATGTCCTTGGGTCCTGCAGTCCATGCTTGTTTTGAAATCTCAAATACTATTCTCTTTTCCTGTTTCCCTCAAGGTTTTTCCATTTCTTCACAACAGAAAAAAAATCAGTTTTACCATCAGCTCTTTCTTTTCTGACATCCAAGGCAATTAGAAAGTGCAGCAAATTAAACAGGAATGATTTGTGTCATAGTGAGACCTTAGAAGCCTTTGGGTTCACTGCTGGAAGCTACATAGTAGAATGAACCCCTGGAGCCACCAGCCTTAACTCTCAACTTGCTCTCCCAGTGAGCGACCCAGCCCTGAAGCCATCAAAACCACAACAAGCACTCTGGTCAATCATGCCCACACCGGATTCCAGCGCCCATGCATTAGTCAAGTCAGAATGTCCAATACATTTGTTATGGCAACTTACGCCACCCCTTCCCCCAACCTGTTCATCTTACAAAGAAAATAAGGACACTTTGAGCTAATATTGCATCGATGAGAACACTTTAATCAGTTTCTTGTCTGTAGTTTTAGAGACAAGAAAGCAATTTGTTCAGGAAGGCAAAGACTTTGGGATCAAAGTGAAGAAGAACAAATAACATTATCCTTCCCCCCTACCCTTCTGTGCACTATCTGTTGCTTCCAGATATGCTGCATAGCCTGTAGTGTACATGTGGAGCTTAAAGCAGAGGTTGCACTTGTTTAGCTGAGCCCTTAGCTCTACATCAGACACTGTGCAGTATGTATCACTAACTGCTACAGCTGACTGAATGCTGCCCAGTTTTAAATTATAGGTGGTTCACTGGTGAACTGAATTCATTTGCTACAAGTGCTACAAAGCCAATATTCATTACATAGTAGCACTCAATCATGTAAAGTGTATGCAAGGGTCTTAGTGCAGTGTGCAGGTCTGAGTGCTGAGAACACCAGCTCAGCAAGGGAGAAGAGTTAGATAGAGACCTCTAGACTGCGTTTCTGCTGCCTTCAAGAAAACAAAATCAGCATGTCTCCCAGCCTGATACCTGTGTGTGAATGCAGCCCCCACTGGGTGCCAGGAGAATTAGCTTGAAGAGGTCAGTGTAGGAGAGGGAAGCCAGCAGCCAGGCTCCACTGGGGGAAAAGCAGTGAGTCCTCCACACTCCTTCTGCCCCTTTGTCAGCTGCTTACACCTCTATCAGTGCTGGAGGACCTCATCATGCTGACAGGATGGTCAGCAGTGCCTAACAGTCTAGTGAAAATCGGATGAAGATTTTCATTCATTTTTTAAATCAATTCCCCTTCCTTTATAACCAGTATAAATTTTAATTCCAGCTTCATTTTTTTTTTCACAAAGCAGACTTTATTGAGCAACATACTGTATACAGGTTTTGGTCATCTTCTTACAAGACTGAATAGGACATGAATATATTTTGTTCTTGAAAAAAAAATATTTTAAAGGAATTTAACCTCTGACATCTAGGACAGAGGAAAATTCAAACATGGCCCAAAGGATACTTTCAGTCTCAATAACGAAACAAAGGTTTGAATTACAAGTGGAAACCAAAGACAGGCTCATAAAGCAGGTCTGAACAAGTGTTCAGTGAGGATTACTATCCGTTGAGTGCCCATATGATACAAATTGTCAGAAACAGGTCTGAGACCTAAGAACGTATTTTTTAAAATAAAAGTTATTTAATAACAATGAGCAGAAATTGAAGAGTAAGAAAAGTCATTGATCACAACCAAGATGGGGTAAGGGGGCATCTACAATCATCCTACAGAAACAATGTGGATAGCAACAATTTCACACATTAATTGCTTTCTCACTAGAGCTGCATGTCAATGACATTGTGAAGAAATGGGTGATTAACACTTAAAAACTGAAGGACAGCCACAAGGATTTGTATTGATTAGTCATCTTAGTCTGAGGTAACAAAAAAATCTTAAATAAACTTGTTCACCTGGTAAAGGGGAACATGAATTCTTCATGTAGGTTTCAGGTCTTATTTACTGATCATATGTTCCACAATGTTTTTAATTAACATACAGAATTTGTAAGTCACTGTGTGCCTGGATTTACTGGAATCATGTCTTTTTAGATTGACAGTACTGAGGAGTCCAGACAGTCAGAGGTTCTGTATGTTAGTCTGATAAGTGAAATCATGCTACTTCACACACTGTTACTCTCTGCAGGACAGCCCTATGTCCAGGTGAAATACAGTATGTAGACTGTCTAGGAGAACCCTATTTTTCATAAGAAGCAAGTTTAAAGTATAATGTATGAGGTAAATAAGAGAAAGTTCAAAGTCTCCAGCATACTGTAAAACTAACAAATAAACAGCAATTCCAAATGCTGAAGAAACTGGCCAATAAAAGAGGCACAGGGAGACAAAGATCAGGAGAAGGAATACGTACATCCTTAATCAGCTACATCACTATCTAATACACTCTGTTCAGATGATAATGCAAACCAGATGGCTGAGTAATGGTGGTAATAACATCACTGAGCCCTGCCATTCAGTAGCAGAGAACGGGCAGAAACATTATCACTGCAGTGATTATAGAACAATGTTACCGCCATCCACAGCAGAGCAAACTGATTCCACATGGATTGTTATGTTGTTCTTGGAATGTGATTAAGATCTTCAATTCCAACTGCAATGTGCCACAGTTACTGAGTTGTTAAACTGTAATAACATTCAGGCAATTAAATTAAACCCAATTAGTTATCATGGACTTTTAATGATGTTACAGTGCATGCATAATGTGATTACAGAGATTTTAATTATAGGTATGCTGCAGTTTATACCTGAAATTCCTCAACTACTCACACAAAGCCTTGAAGGTTTTATACCTGTAACATGGTTTATTTATGTTTAACACATTATAAAACACACTGTACACTGGCTCAATGACTTACACCATCATACACACTAAGTGGATACTTAATTTATTGGTAGAAGTATAAGTAGCAGTACCACAAAAAAGCTGTGTGCTTTACCTATCCTTCAGAAGAGGACAGCATGGTTTCATGGTTTCAACTGTATCTTAAACTTAGCTGTTCCCTCAAATTTCTCATCTACATGGATATAATCAGAGACAATTTAACACTGACTTCACTCTGGGGGTTGTACATAAGCGAGCGCTAGATATTAGACATTTTTACCATGATATTCATGTCATTTTATACTTCTTTCAAAGCAATGTGAATCAATTTACACAAACAGTAACATGAGGCTGAAGTGATTTAATTTGTTGGACGCTTATCCATAAAGTATTTAAAAGCCTGTAGGTCATATGACCTGAAATTCAGGAAATTTCATGTGATGAAATGTTCTCATTAACCTGCTTCTT